TTTAACTTCCAAAAGTAAACAGCAAAACTAAGTCTTGGTACTATGATGCTCCGTCTCCTCGAAGCCTGTACGCATACTTGACTTACTAACTTTCTGAGAATACAAGTAGTTTGAAAGAGTATCAGCATTAAAGCTGGTGAGTTCATAAGCATTTTTGTTGTAAAATGAGTACGTCCTTTTGTTCTTTGGAAAAATGGAATGTTGCATTTGAGTCTAAGACCAAAATATATCTGTGTTTCTCATGTTTTTAAAGAATGTTTCAAATTTCGAAAGAGTAGTAAACAAAATATATTCCTGGTGCGATTTCTTGGTGTGTACATGTTAGTAAGGTTTTTAGATCGAACGGATCCACTACGTATTTACTAAGACACTATTTTTGTAAGTAAATCTCCATACTTAAAATACCATATGTAGTTTTGTATGTGCATAAAACCCCTTTTTGTGTGGTTCTTAAGTCTCTAATGTTTCCAGAAAATCCTATATTTTCCGTAAAGTGTGTGATAGCCTTAATTGAACCAAGGCCAAAATATGTAAGTATAAATACCATACTTAGTTTACAAGTGTGTAGTTTTGTTATTAAGAAAACTAGTTTGAAGATGTCATCACTTTGACAATGGTGACGTTTAACCTGGTGGATTCTGTGTTTTTAAGAAGATGGCTTGTAGCCTTTATTGTATTAAGACTCCATTTTTGTAAGTAAATTCCCATACTTAAAATAGTATAAGTAGTTTTAATACCATAAAAGCCAATTGTGTAAACCCGGTACATTGTAATGTACCCCTTTTGTATAAACCCGGTACTTTGTAATGTACCCCTTTTGTATAAACTCGGTACTTTCTAATGTACCCCTTTTGTATAAACCCGGTACTTTGTATTCGTACCCCGCTTATATGAAGGCCCGGTACTTTGTAATGTACCCCTTTTGTATAAACCCAGTACTTTGTATTCGTACCCCGTTTATATGAAAACCCGATACTTTGTAATGTACCCTTTTTGTATAAACCCGATACTTTGTATTCGTACCCCGTTTATATGAAATCCCGGTACTTTGTAATGTACCCCTTTTGTATAAACCCGATATTTTGTATTTGTACCCCGTTTATATGAAAACCCTGTACTTTGTAATGTACCCCTTTTTTTGTATGAAAAACTTTTGTAATGTACCCCTTTTGTATAAACCCGGTATTTTGTATTCGTACCCCGTTTATATGAAAACCCTGTACTTTGTAATGTACCCCTTTTTTTGTATGAAAAACTTTTGTTATGAATTCGAAATGTAAAAGAAACATAAACTATACCATTTATAGTTTATCATAATGTTTGTATTGTATATGCAACCTAACTATACCTATTATAGTTTAGCATGTTTTGTTATGAATTCGAAATGTAAAAGAAACATAAACTATACCATTTATAGTTTATCATAATGTTTGTATTGTATATGCAACCTAACTATACCTATTATAGTTTAGCATGTTTGTTTGTGGTGTATAATAGACTTTAACTTTACTTATTATAATTTATTATAATCATTTGTAGTAGTAGTACTTCTTTGTATACGATCCATACCTTTAAACTAAGGTAAATAATGTGTACTATCAACAACATGTATTCAAATAATACTACACACCTTGCTCAACAAGTTACAAGGTGTAAATAGGATTGTTAAATATTTATAGTTTTTAACTTTTCTGTTCCTGCTATTGGAAAAATTTATAGAAAAATCGTCAGAGGTCGAAATTTAGATCCGTAAACTCTGAGGGTCTAGAAAATGTGTCTATTTTATTCATAATTTTTATCATGATTTTTAGTGACATTTAACTTGTGTAAAAAGGTCCAACTTCACAGACTGGTCCGAAGTGGTTTCTGAAATGATATGTTGTTTTGTAAAAATCCCCATAAATTGTAGAAAAATCGTATGGAGATGTGCAAGTAGTCATTTTAAAGGTATAAACCTGAATTATTTTCATATTAAACATTTTTGAAAGATGTTAAGTTTAAGATGGTCAAAACATTCCGTGAATAGAACTCAACTTTTCTGTTGAAAGATGATGTTTGAGTTTAGTTAAGTTTTTGGTGTTTTAACTTGTATCCCCCCCTGAAAACTAAAGAAAACCGGAAAATGTAGGGGTATGAACTCACCTTATGTGATTTATTGAAGGATGGAAGGTTGAAGATGATGAGTTTCAAGTCAAGAACGCTTGTTGAACACACAAAGTTTTCGATGATCCTATGAACGATTTCGTGTTAATATGAGTGTAGATGATTCAAGAGTGTTATGAAAACGTGTAATAACACTTGAGTTAGAAGGAAATACTTACCAATAAGTGAATAAATAACTCAATAACACTTCGAAAGTGTGGCTGGAAGTTGAGAGAAAAAGAGGCTCTCTTGATGGTTAAGAAGTGTGTAAGTGTTTGATGGTGAAGAAAATGATCAAGGAAATTCAAGAAATCCTCCAGGGATTTACTTATATAGAAAGTTGTTGGAGCAATTTGCAAGGTTGATAGGATGTTTGCCTTGGTTTGTGTGATGTGGATAAGGTTGGACCAATGAGAAAGTGACGCATAGGTGGAAGTGGACACACTTGACCCACTTGTAACATAAAATATCCTAAGCTATTGTCTTTAATCTAAAATAATGATTTATAATTAATAAATCCTTAGGATGTGATTAAAATATGAGTTTAGGGAGTTTAAAATACTAAAAATATGATATTGGTGAAAAATCCCCGTAAAAAACGGGCTTAATAGGCGAAAGTAGTCGAAAACCGGGAAATAGGGGCGAAGCTGCGAGGTTCGGTCCTTAAGAACCGAGAGGGAGGTTCGGGTCCGAAGGTGAGAAGAAGCGAAATGGAGTTCGGGTCCGAAGGTGAGAAGGAGCGAAATGGACCGAAGGCTCGGTTCATTTCAGTTGTGTATGCGGTTCGGTTCGCTCGTTAGGGTCTCGGTTCTGAAGGGACCTTCGGTCCTCCGAAGTTCGGCCTCGGTCTAAGGTAGCTTCGGTCCACATGACATGTTTCGGTCTTAGTAGGGTTCGGCTCTAAGAGGTTCGCCTCTAAGAGGGTTCGGTCCTGAGAAGGGTTTTGGTCCTAAATGGCTGATTTTCAAGTTAACTCCCCGATTCAAGTGGTTTTTGACCAAATTAATGGTCGGGATGACCCGGATGGCTATAAAAAGTTGAGAGAGAGATTTGGGAGAGATTTTATTGTAGTCTTTGTTAGTGTTTATCCTCGCAATGCAAGGTTCGTAAACTCATTTAGGCTTTGTTTATGAATGTTTTAAGCCCCCAAAGGGTCCATAATCGTGTTTTGGTGCATTTACTCTCCCTTCTTAGGTTTTTACATTGCTAAACACTTAAAATCTTCGAGACACTTGCATGCATGATACATAATTGTACATTTGCACACATAGAATAACTTCTATAATAAAAGTACTAGTTGAGTTGACCGGTTTGACCCTTTGACTTTTCTTGACTTTGACTTAACTAAAGTTTGACGGTTGTCATAACTGTATTGTATGTTGTTATCGTTTTAATTATCACATGTGTTGGTAGGATTATGTGTTTGTATGCTGGGTGGGGCCCGTTATGTGAGTGTGGGTGGGGCCCGTATCTCAGTGGGCGGGGCCCGTTATGCGAGTGTGGGCAGGACCCGTATCTCATTGGGATGATTGCAGAGCACACACCACATGATTCCACATTCTGTGATTTACTCTGATTTGATGATGTTTTGCTAAATCTTGATTACCTTGGTTTTATGGAAATGATATGTACTAACGATTTATTAACCTAAAAATGAAAATTTTATGTCATTATTTTTGGGACGTTGCAGTTCAGGCCTCCAATATACCTGAGCTAAAACTCCTCGAGGTAATAAAGGATTATTAAATAAGTTGGATCGAATAATGGTCAATATAAGATTTATGTCTGGCATTGCTAAGAGCTTTGCTGTTTTCAAGGCATATTGTATTTCAGATAATTATCATGCTATTTTGTCGATCCCTTTGGTGAAATGTCGTATTATCATTCCTTTCAAGTTCGTAAATCTTATTTCTCATAAAAAATATTTTTTACCCATGGTGGTGCAAGTGTGGAAACAAGAGGTGGATGGTTTTTTCACTTTCCAAGTTACCCAAAAGTTTAAAAGATTGAAAAACCCCTGTCATAAACTATTTGACAACTACAGTAAATTTGAGAAGAATAAGAAGGATTTAAGGGTGTTAATTGATGGTATTCAAGGGGAGATTGATATTGATCCTTTCAATGAAGATTTAAGATGTAGACATGCTGAAATTCTTGATGAAGATCGGTTTTTAATTCAAAAATGTAAAATTAATTGGTTGAAAAAGGGGATAGGAACAATGCGTTCTTTCATAAAATCCTTAAGTGTCGATTGAATAGACATCGGGTGAATGTTGTTTTAGATGAGAGTGGGAACTAGAAAAGAGGAAAGGTTGTTCCTGTGAAGTTTGTTGAACATTTTAAAAGTTTCTTGGGATTGGAGGTTAATGTTCAGGATGTGGATAATTCTGATTCCCTTTTTCAAAACAAAGTGGAATATGCAAATGCTCTTAATATGGTTAGAGTTGCACTGATGAGGAAATCAAGAAGGCGATGTTTGACATAGATGATAACCGTGCTCTAGTTCCTGATTAACTTTCATCTTGTTTTTTTACTTTCTTCATGGAGTATTATTAGCAAAGATGTTTGCAAGGCTGTGAGAGAATTTTTTGGTCTGGTAAGGTGTTAAAAGTGGTAAATGCTACCAAAATTATTCTTGTTCCTAAAGTTGAAGCTCCAAATAAAGTTATGGATTATCGTCCTATTGCTTGTTGCAACACATTTTATAAGTGTATTATTGTTAATAGGATAAGTGGATATTTGGGTAAAATAATTAATTGCAATCAATCAACATTCATTCCCGGAAGATCAATCATAGACCATATTCTTTTGTCCCAAGAGCTACTGGTTAGGTATAATGGTAAAAAGGGATCTCCGAGATGCTCCATGAAATAGATATAAAAAAAGCTTATGATATGGTAAGTTGGAGGTTTCTTGAAATGACGCTTAAGGAATTTGGATTTCATCCTATCATGATCAATTGGATCATGATATGTGTTTCAACCCCTTATTTTACTGTTAGTGTTAATGGAGAGGATCATGGGTACTTTCCTAGTAGGAGGGGATTAAGGCAAGGTGACTCACTGTCACCTTACTTATTCACTATAATCATGGAAGTCTTCACTTTGATTCTTAAAAAGAAAGTCTCGGAGAGTAATTCTTTTAAGTATCATTGGAAATGTCGGGATCGGAAAATAACAAATCTTTTCTTTGTTGATGACCTCCTCCTTTTTTGTTATGGTACTGGTGCTTCGGTGAGAGCGGTGAAAGAAGTTGTGGATGACTTTAAGTATTTGTATGGTCTTTCTATCAACCTCTTAAATAGTCAAATCTTTTTAGTAGGGTTTCTGCTAGAATGAAGAGTATAATCTTGGGTATATTGCCTTTTAAGTAGTGGGGAGCTTCCTGTCAGGTATCTTAGTGTGCCCCCTGCGATTTCAAAACCATTTAAACGTGATTGTAATGGGCTGGTGGAGAAAATTAAAAGGAATATATTAAATTGGAAATACTGTAGTCTTTCTTTTGTTGGAAGATTACAATTGATCAATTCAGTATTATCATCTTATCATGTGTACTGGGCCCATGTGTTTATGATCCCTCCAGCTACGATGAAAGAAATTGAGAAAATATTAAGAGGTTTTTTATGGTGCAGTGGTGAACTGAAGCAGGGAAATTCCAAAAGGAATTGGAAAATGGTGTGTATGCCTAAAATAAACGGTGGATTGGGAATTAAGAACTAAAAGATTTGGAACATTGCTTTGTTGTCTAGACAAGTGTGGAATGTGATTAGCAGAAAGAATACTTTATGGGTTTAATGGATTAGTAGGAACCATATTAAAGACAAAAACTTATGGGATATTCTATATAGCAGAATTTGAGTTGGACATGGAAGAGATTTCTTGAATTGAGAGAGTATCTTAGAAACCATATTGTTTCTAAGACAGGTAGTGGAAAATCTACTTATATCTGGCATGATTATTGGCATCCAAGTGGGATTTATGGGAATTATATCACTTGTAGAATGAGAATTGCTGAAGGATTTAATGACCAATCTTCTGTTGAGAATTTAAGGGTTAATGGTGCTATCTGTTGGCCTCCTAACTGGGTTGTGTTGTTTCCTGGATTGTTGGAGCAACCAATCTGTAATGGTGATCAGAATGAAGAAGATACTATTCTTTGGAAGGACAATAAAGGAAAACCCTAGCCTTTTTCTATTAAAATGGTTTGGGGCACCATTTGACCTCAAGATGCTAATGTCTTATAGTATAACACTGTTTGGTATAGTAATAATATTTCCAGCCATGCTTTTGTTCTTTGGCTTGCTGCCAATGAAAGACTGAAAACTCAAGATAGAGTTAGAAATTGGGAGAAATATGGGAATTTGACATGTGTTTTTTGCAATCTTGTTCCGAATTCTCATGTGCATCTGTTCTTTAATTGTGCTTATTCAGGGAGGATTTTGGCTCATGTCGGGAAGATTGCTAGATTGTATAATCTGCCCAATGGTTGGATGGATATAATTAGTTTTTTTTACTAATCATGTTAAAGGAAAATATTTGGATTGCATCATCAAAAGATTGTGTTTAGCCTGTACAGTCTTTTACATTTGGAAGGAAAGAAATGCAAGACTGTTTCCGAAAGTGGAATTGATTGAGCAAAATATCGTTAAAGAAGTTGAAGGAATAATTCAGCTTAAATTGTTAGGAATGAATTTCACCTTCAATAAATACAATTCTTCTATTTGCAAAAATTGTGGGGTTAAGAGGTTAAAGAATTGTCCACACGAGGATGGAAGAATTGGTTTAGATTCTGATGGAGTTGTTTAGAATGGGTTGGTGGAGCTGGAACGAGTGGAGTCAATTTAATTGGTGGAAGGGTTACCTTTGTGTTATTTAGAGGGAGATTTGGATTTTGGTTTCCTTTTGGACTTTGTTAAAATGGATTCTTAGAATTTTAAAGGCTTTCCTTAAAATTCCGTGTTTGTACCTTTCGGGATGAGTGGATGGATATGATCTTTATTGAGATTATCCTAAAACTTTATCCTGGACATCTGATTGATTGATGCCATGTCAAGTATGCAACTTAATGGAATTGACGAATTTACCCTTTACAAGTTCTTTTGTAAAGGAAGTATTGTTTTACTATACATGGTTAGTTTCAGTCTTTTTTGGAGACTGTTGGAGTTAATTTCGAGCAGGTGGGTGCCTTCAAGTGGTTTGTTTCTGGTGGCGGACTAGTTGGGACAATATTTTTTTGATCATTGACATGAAGATTTGGCATGTGGTGGTAAAGGTTTGGAGCTGGATTATGTGGTACATATGGAGAAGAATTGTGATTGGATTTGTGATTTTTGAAGAAATTTTTTGCACCTTTTGGGGGATATTGATTGGTCTTGTCTTTTTTACTCCTTGGGTGTCAGTTTTTTTAAGGGCCTTACCTCTTGCTATTTTACTAAAAGGAGGATGATTGTGTTGATTTGGAAGGGGGTATTATCGGAATAGCAAGAGTGTGAAGTTACCTTTTTTCTCGACCTTTATTATAATAAATCAGTGGAGTTTTGTTTGGATTTGGTGGATTTTTGGTTTGATGATTTGTGGTTTTGGGAGATTGATTGGATTAGATGGTGGTTGTTTCTTTGTCTTAGGAAATGGTTGAAGTTTTGGTGTTAGATAGGCTAGAATTTATGTTTGATTGTTAGTTTCATTTTCTGAGGGTTTTTAATTTTTTCTCATTGTATTCTTTCTTATTTTATAATAAAGTTTGTTGAGACTTTGGTCTCTTTCGAATAAAACTTGTTATGTGCATAATTAATTATACCAAACTCCAAATGATATGACTTCATGGACTATAGTTAGAATGCCAGACTTTTACTCTTCCTAGAGTGAAGTTACTATTTTTACAGATTGGTCCGAAAGTTAACAACTTTGAGGTGTTAATTGTAAAATGTTTATAAAATCAACCAAAAATCATTAGAGCGAATTCTTTTTATCCATGAAAAGGTATAGGAATAAATATAATAATATGTAATAAAAACACTAAAGTAATGGGTTTAAGGGATGTAAATCAGATCCCGAACAGAAGGCTGCAAATGAAAGTAAAAGTAATATGTGATAAAACATATAAATAAGGATATAAAGGAAGTAAATCAGATCCCATATGCAATAACACACCAGTAGAACAAAGTAGATTCAACAAAAGACTTGGCATAGGAATAATAAGGGAACAAAGCAGATATAGGGGATAGAAAGTTGGAGCGATGGTGATAGCTATAACTTTGGATTGGTGGTGTGATGAGACAAAGTGAGAGGAGAAAAAGAGAATGAAAAGTTCTTCCAAAATTTTGAGGGAGTCCCACATTATATAAGCATCTATCTGGTGTTGATTGATTCAATTGGAAGAAAGTGAGGAAATATATGTTTAACTTGACCAATTCAATTTGCAGATAAGGTTAGATGAGATATTTGAGGTATTTAAAATTTAAAAAGTTGTTAGAATTTAAAAAGTGAGGAAATATATGTTTAAAATTTGAGGTATTTAAAATTTAAAAAGTCGTTAGAATGGGCCAAATAAATCTTATATCTTCCTTCAAATTTAAAAAGTTGTTAGGAACTCCAGGAACTACTTTTTTTGAGCGAAAAATATAATCTACTCTTAAACTCCTTATTAAGGGCATTTTTTCTATTCTAATATTTTGATTTTTTAAGTTTTGATAAATAGCCAAAAATCAATAAGGGAATAATAGTCATTTTTAACTTTAAACATAAAATATCTAACATCTAACAACATTCAAACACTTCCAAAGTTATTTTGCAAGAAAATTTTCTGAAGCCCTCTCAAACTCTCCCAACAAAACAAAACCTAACACCACCTTTGCCACCTACCTGTGCCAAAAGCCACTTACCGTCGTTGTCATCTACCGCCTTTAGTCGCCGAAATGTATAGTAGCCAAGACTTTTCACTTCATATCCACTATCGACCGCTACTGATCACATATCTAGAGTGAAAAGCTCCATTGTTGAATGCCACCACCGACAAACGATACCACCGCCACCACCACTGTTGTCTCTTCTCTCCGTTGAAACACGAAAAGCTCGTCTCCATGATATTCTATGAGAAACCAATAGTTATCCGGATCTATTCAGATCAGATCTAGTCTGATTTTCACCAGAAGCCTTCAAATCTGTCCGTCAACGACTACCGCTACCACATCCATCGTCATCCTCTGCCTCCACTTTGCCAGATCTACAACCACATCCATTTTTTTTGTATCTCTGATCTCTGGAGAACCACCTGATATGCATCAGATCTCACTAGATCTGATGTCTTTTTTCATTTTCATATTAGATCTGACTAACCATCCCCGATAAACCATCCTTTCTCCTTCTCATACGACCAACAGACTAGATCTCGAGATTGACGAAGTTACAAATGCCATATCTACTACCTAACACCAGATCTACATCAAATTTAATGTTTTTATGCATTTCATGTATGGTTTTGGTGTATCTGGAACATTTCATGGTAGCTTGCATCATATCTGATTTTTGTAGATAAATCTTCGATCAAAATCATGTATGTCGATTTTTATAGATAAATTTTCTTTGAGTTTTGTTTTCTACTTATTTTACTACCTACATCTATTATAGATCTCTATGATGTAGTTTTTCTTTATTGTTTTTCTTTTTGTTAAAATGTGAATTTGATGTTTTAATCTCTCATTTGTCGTCTATTTTTGTTAATCTGGTTTTAACTACTATTAAGTTGTGAATGTATACTTTTTTTTAATTAAAATATGAATTTATTGTATTAATTAGTGAATTTTTTATATTAAAATGTGAATTGAGTGTATCAAGAGTTTTAAGTTGATAATATGGACGTGAATGCTACTTTTTGTGTATTAAACTATAAGTTAGTTGTATAAAGTTGTGCAGTGTGTGTATTTAAGCTGTGATTTTTGTGTTTTAAACTGTGAATTGATTGCATTAAGCTGTGATATTTTTTTTAAACTGTGAATTAACTATATTAAGTTCTAAATTTTTTGTATAAAATTGTGAATTGAATGTATTAAGAGTTTTAACTTTATAATATGGTTGTGAATGCATACTTTTTGTGTATGAAACTGTGAATTTTGTGTATTAAGCTGTGGATTTTGTGTTTTAAACTGTATTGCACGTTGTGAGTTTTCTGTTTAAGCTATAAATTGAGTATATTACGTTGTGAATTTTGTGTATTAAACTGTGAATTAACTGTATTAAACCGTGAATTGACTAATATTAAGCTGTGCTTTTTTTATATTTTTTTCTTTTGAAATATAAGATTAGATAAACATTATACACATATATGATTTTATCGAATTTCGAATAAAGTATATGAAATTTAAATTGTGAATATTGTGTAAACAAACTTTAAAAGAAGCATTAGCCTCAATATTTGAAGGTATAAATGTAAGTTTTAAGTTGAGACTATGGCTATGAATGTATAATTTTTGTGTATTAAACAATGAATTTAATATATTAAGCTATGAAGTTTGTGTATTAAACTGTAAATTGACGGTATTAAATTGTGAATTCATTGTATTAAGTTGTGAACTCTTTATGTATTTTGTGTTAAAATATGAATAATTTATGTGTAAATGTTTGTATTACTTTTCTTGCGAATATATTTATTTTTTGTGTTGTATAAGTATGTAAAAATGTATTAGTTTTATAATTATTTTGCATGAAACTTTAAATTAGTGAATTAATTGGTTTATTAAACTGTGAATATTATATTTAAGTTGTCAATCCATGATTATATATATATATATATATATATATATATATATATATATATATATATCTGATTTGGAAGGAATGATGATTGTGTCGGTGGCATAAGTGGTAGATGGCAACGTGTGGCAGAGTTTGTGTTTGACTTATTTGAATATGTGAATTAGTCTATAACTGATTGTATTACATTGTAAATTTTAGGTATTAAACTAAAAATTGATTGTATTAAATTGTAAATTTTGTGTTAAAATATGAATGAATGTATGGTATTTTATATTGTTAATATGTCTTATAAACAAAAAAATGTTATATATATATATATATATATATATATTTGGTTATTTTGATAACCAAAACATAAAGGCTGAAGCATAAACTTTGGATCTTTTAATCTCGAATCTAATTAAAAGAAAACTTGAACATTAAAGAACGATTA